CTTTCTGGAACATTCTGGAACATTTCTGGAACATTCTTCCTTGCAGTCTGCTCTGTCTGGAGTCTCATCAAATTCATTGGCACTACCGGTTCTGAAGAGACACAGACATGAGGGGTGGAGCGTAGGAGATCCTTTCTCTAACTTTTCACTACCAGGTGGGGAAATTGGGATCTGCACCGTGGTCGTCTTCCCAGAGACACATTAGTTGACAGGAGATTCAGGACTAAAATGTATGTTCTCTGCCCAGCGTTCTCTCTATGTCACATCTAATCCCACTGCTCCACTGCAGAACAGAGCCTGAGCTCATAGGGTTTGTGTGACCTGTGTCACCCACCCACCCTCAAGCTCTTTCTCTCTTAAAGTTCTTAGTTTATTAATCCTTCCATGAAGAATCTGCACTGTCACCACAGATAAAGTCACTGCAGACCCTCTACTCCTGCTGGTCCCACCTCTGGCTCACATTTTGCCAGCACCCGTGTCAGCCTTTGCAGGCCCTCTGACTTTCTTCCTTCTGTTCTTGTGCTCCTCTCACTGTTTTCTTGATGTCTTTTTCTTCTCATACAGGCCATGTCTTGCAAGTCTATGTTTGGGTTCATCTTCCTTTGCATACCCCAAGGCATCGTAAATCATGACGGAGCCAGTTGTCTTGCCACCACCAAAATGGGTTCTGAATCCAAATACAAAGATGGCATCCAGGGTGGTCTTGTACATTTTGCTAGTTTTCCCCAAATTTCTGTTTTGGGTGCTGTTGCCTTTCTGGGGTGATCAACATCAATGACTGTTTGTTTCTGTACTCAGTTGGTCATGAACTTGCTGGTCTGGATAGTTACTGCGTTGTTTATGATGGCGGTTGAGCTTCAAGCCATGATCATTTTCTCTTCTACACACACACACACACACACACACACACACACACACCTTTTGCCTTTGGGGAAGTGAGTTTTGCAGGTTTGGAGTGTACGGTGCTGCCCAGGAGTGGCAGGCAGGGAAGCTGGAACAGTCGGCTGGGCTGGTGTGTGAGGGTGAGTGTTGGTCACCCTAAGTGCTGAGAACCTTCTTCCATAGGGCGATGAAGACTCACTAAACACTTAAGCAGGGAAGTAACATGACTGCATTTGTCTTTTAGAAGGACGGTTCTAGCAATTATGTAGACCGTAGACTAGGTAAAGAGAGGGATTGGAGAGGTGGAGACCTGTCAGGACAAGCTTTCCAGAGATGGTGTGGGCCTGGGCTAAGGAAGTGATGGTGGTGACGGAGAGGAATGCGCTGGGACCTCTTGGAGTTTGCCCTGTGGGTATGTGGCAGGATGGGTGCGGAGGCCAGGGTGGGGAGGGCGTAAGGCTGACTAGTCGAGGGGGGAGGTGGGTAGAGATGCCAAGCTGGGGAAAACAGGAAGTCGAAGGTATGCGCACACGGGTATGTTGTGTAGGGTGTAGGCAGAGGAGGGACCAATAAGTTTAGTTCTGGGTCTGTTGGGGACTCCCTGGGATGTCACGGAAGCTCAGCAGTGATGGGGATGAGGAGTGTACAATCGGGAGCCAGATGCTGAGATGGGTAGTGGAAGCTGTGAGTGAGAATGCACACCACTGGATGAATATCTGTGAAATTAGGTGTTTTCTTTAAATTTCTATTCATCTTTTCAGTTTCCCCATTCCTCTACTTTTCTCTTTTCACACTTCCAAGAGCACAGGTGAAATCTGCCCGTCTAATGGGGCAGCAAGACTAATCTTGCTGTCTCTTCTCCCATATCTGGGCCCCTTCCAGAAACAACCAGCACTCTTGGGTTTCCTTTAGGAAATGTAGTGATTTCCACTCAGTGGAGCTCTGTAATCTAGGAGTCTTCTAGTTAGGCTGTGGGCTGATTCAAAATGTCAGGGTTGTGATGTCCTGAGGGGGAGGGGGAGATTCCTGTGTAGCTCAGAGAGAAAAAGGGGAGAAAGAGAGAAGTCTTTACTCGGAGTAACTTGATGTTTGGAATTTCATCAACCACAGCTTGAAAATATTGGACGAGTAGCGGGGCTGCTCCTGTCAGGTTGGCTAAGAAGCGACATTATGGAGCCCCATCACCTCTGGGCTCTCAACAGCGACAAGGAGGCAGCAAGGGTTACCTCCTTTATAAAGGAGGTAACTTGTGGCTTCTCAGCAGAGCTTTGGAGCCCAAGGTGGGAGAAGAGTGGGGTCTGTTGGATGCCTTGGGCTCCAAGCTCCCACTCAGGTGGGAGGTGGGTCTGAGCCTGGAGAGCCCGAAGTAGCTTTTCTCCTACCGACGCTTTGGGTCAAGGTCTAGTTTGATGTTCTTCTGTAGTTGAATACCAGAGTTTTCTGCCCCTAAATTTCTGATGTTCTTGAGGAACAGAGAAAACTCAGACCTATTAGCCTCATGCGTATCACGTTGTGGACCCTCAGTGGGAAATCCCTGCCCTCTGGGCTCGCTGCTCTGCTCTCACCTTGGCTGTCCACGATGATGTCCACGGCTCACTGCCTATTGCCCACTCACTTTGCTTCCAGAGTGAAAACGTATGCACGAAGCCTGACATTAGACAATGTGCACTGACCGGGTTAACACGAGATGGGGAGAGATGAGGGAGGCCTTCCACAGAGCATTTGTAAATGGGAAGCCAGTTAAAAAATTTGAGGGCAGTAGCCTACTGAGTGGAAATCCTCCCATCGTGGGAGATTTAGTAGGAATCCTCCCAACCTGTTGGGTGAGAGCAGGGTGGAGAGATGCAATCCGTTGCTGTGCTGGTGATTTGATTCTTGTTTGCAAGAATTATATGCCTTAGTGTTGGACTATGTACAACCTGCACAAGCTTAACTCCTTTCTTCCTCCCCCCTCTTTAGGACCCTGCCGTGTGGGCTCTGTCTGAAATTCCACCATGGGGACTGTGTTTTTAAAGAAACATTGATACTTTTAAGGTGTAAATGTATGCGAATGGGAAGCATTTTAAAGCTGTTATGGGTTGTTTTCACCTGAGTGCAAATTCAGACACAGGCAGCAGCAGATTTTGAGGAAGGGGAGTGGGGATATAGGAGAAGAATTGGGGAGAGGGCAGAAAGCAGGGTGAGGTGGGGAAGACAGGGGGTGTAGCAGGTGGAGGGGAGGGAGCAAGACTGTTTGGAGGAGATTCCAGTGGAGGATCCTGGTGCCCACAGGAAGGGTTGGCTGCCTCGGGTTTCCACGGGCTGTGGGCCTACCCACTAATTTTACCTACATGGAGAGAACCAGAGCCTGCAGCTCAACTTAGTTTTTCTTTTTCTTTTTTTGGCAGAACAAATCAAAGAAATTGCAAACTCTGGAAGTGAGAACTGTATCATACTTTCTAATTACAAGAGACCCAAGTAATGCTATTTACTCTGTGGGCTCATTGTGTCCTTCTGATGGTAATAAGAATATTCTTGCCCTTTCATGAGTGAGGAATTCAAAGTTCCCAGAGACAGACCGGGTCATTTAACTAGCATGCCCAAATAACCCAACATCAAACGGAGCTGGGGCTGAGCCCTGGCCTGAGGATCTGCAATTTTGGGCAGTCAGCTTGACCGTTGCATGTTCCTGATCTCTCAGTCATATAAGGGCTGGTGTTTTAGGCTCAGGTCCCGAAGCAGCCATATCTGGTTTTTAGTTTTTTTTTAACAACATGTGTGAGGAGAGGCTTCTTCCTGGTTAGGCACGGGCAGGACTAGCTTGGCACGGCCCGGGGGCTGGAGAATGGGCTTCTGAGAACACAAATCTCCCCAAGTTATGAGCCAGATCTTGAATGTGTTTCCATGCCTGGGTATTTTTCAGGGATGAGGTCTCGCAGGACTTATGACATCTCCGCAGGTGGTTAAGAATCACCTTTCAGCAAACTGTGATCTCTGCTGACTTGCAATGAGTCTAGTCCCCTTGGTCGCATAGTGTAGGGGGGAGGGAGTGAAAATGCATACAACAGAAAAAAAAATGTTCTCTTAAGACAAATTTTTTTTTTTCTTAAGACAAATTAAAAGATACTCCTCTGCTACGAGTCTTCTCCGTGGCTTTTTGTAAAGGCTCCAAAGACGGTAGACCAGCCACACTGGGGCCACCCGGTTCGTTGCTGAGCCAGAGTCGGGCTCCGCTTCCGGGCGAGTCACTGTGTTCTTACACATCCTGTTTAAACTGGCCTGTGAGCACAAGGGCCAGGAGTGTGTGGAGTGTGTGTACAGGAGGAAGATGAAGAGAGAACCGTGGGTGGTGGGAGTCTGTGACCGGCGGGAGGGCCGTGCCCCGATGGGGGTGAGGAGGGGCCTGTGCACACTCAAAGGTGGCGGGTCTCGCTGGAAGCCAGGTGGCTGGGTGAGGTCCAGGGTGAACGGGCTGGGCTGGGACTTAGTGCCAGGAGCGTGTTTCAGTCTTCCTTTTGCTACTCACTAACCTCATGACCTCTGTCTATCCCCTCAGCACTTTTACTTGCCCAAAGTGGAGATAATAAGTCCTGTCCCACCATTCTCCCTCCCCGCGTGCTTCTGTGAGGATAAAGCCAGATAATATATAGGAACTCATTTTACAAATAAGGTACTTTTTTGTATATATTAAGTGTTCTTACTTTTTAAAGATTTATTTATGTAATTTTATTATTTATTTATTTATTTATTTATTTATTTATTTGGGAGAGAGAGAGAGAGAGCACGAGCAGGGGAGGAGCAGAGGGAGAGGGAGAGAGGGAATCCCAAGCAGGCTCCAGGCTCAGCGAGTAGCCTGTCAAAGGGCTCCATCTCATGACTCCGAGGTCATGACCTGAGCTGAAATCAAGAATCAGAGGCTGAACCCACTGAGCTACCCAGGCGCCCCTAGATTTATTTATTTATTTGAGGTGGGGAGGGGCAGAGAGGATCTCAAGCAGATTCCTCACTGCAAGCAGACCCTTGAGGCTTGATCCTTTGACTCTGAGATCCTGACTTGAGCTGAAACCAAGAGTCCAATGCTCAACTGACTGAGCCACCCAGGCACCCCTCAAGTATTTTTATTAAGGAGAACACACTGATGGAAGAAGACACAGCTACCTGGGAGGAATGATACGTTTTATTTTGGAGCCTTGTCTAACATTCTGAAGTCTAGAGGTGGTACTTTACTACTGCTGGTGTGGATGGCCCGAGGCTCAAGTTCAAACTCGATCTTGAAGCTACTATTCTGGATGCTGATGGTGATAGGAAGAGGGTATACTGGGAGAAGCAGAGGGGACACAAGATTGTTTGGCAGAAAAAAAACCTGCTCTCTCAATCCCCAGACGGGAGCAGACGATTTAGTACTCATTTCTTCTCCTTTCTAGGTGTTCCTCCGTCACCAACCTGAGTGCTCGCTGTATCCTGAACAGCCAAAACCTCCAAAGTAATTTACACTGGTGTGTGTGTGCGTGCGTAAATCTATAAAATGAATTATTAAATTGAGAAGCCTGAGATCTAAGGGCAGTGGCTATTACTTAAAACTGTATAAGGGGGGATTCAGGGTACGAGGGGGAGGCAATCTGGGACTATGATTTGATGAGTTTCTCCAAGCCAAGTCAGGACCCTTTGTTCTAACCTCCTAGTGCAAGAGAACAAATACAGGACTTAAGTACCAGAGGGACTTCTATGAAATACTTGGCCCCAGAGAACAAATCAGAGTGGGTGGCTGAGAGGGGGGAAAATAGAGTTAAACATTTCCTCTGAGCAAAGAAGAATGGACCCAGGCCCAGGGTTATAATTCATGGGGCCTCAGATGAATCTCCAGCTGCTTCAGCTGTCTCCACATCTGTGAGAAGACTGGCCAAGGAATCCAGCACTGGTGGAAGCCAGTGGATGATGCAGCTCAGTGGTTTAACACTCCCCGAGTCTTCCAAGAGGCTTCCTTGAACCCGCGCCTTTTCTACATGTTGTATGCTTTGCCCAGCTCTGTGGCACAGTTTCTGTGAAGAGCACTTAAGCACGTCTGGGACTTTAAGAGATCTTTGCCAAAGAATGATGAAGACCTAAAGCACACAAAATGGTAAGTTCTTAAATCTATTTTCTGTGACAACCTAATCTAAGTCCTAACATGGTAAACCAATGAATTATTACTACCCGATTTGAGGAATGGGAAGGCTTCCTTCAGTCATTCCCTTCCCCATTAAAATCTTGCCTGGATCTAAGAGCGTTATTTCTTATTTCTTTGTCTACCCACTCTTTTCTCCTTAGTTTTTCCCTCCCATTTGGGGAGATGCTCTAGGATACTTGATTTTCTAGGCAGGTAGGTCCTCACATTGAATAATCACCATCTGAAAGAAGTGAAGTCGAAGTCTCCAAACCAAATCCTTGCGGCTGCCTCCTTCTGGCCTCAGTGCATTATCCTTTTGGGCTGATTTTCTACATGGAACCTACTGCACCCACCTGGCTCAGCCAAGCAGTCAACCTCTATTCTGGGAACTGTCACAGAGGCTGATATCAACGTAAAGGAAGCCCTAGTTTTGGTGAGTTTGTAGTCTAGTCCGATGTGGCTAGAGCCACATGTTAAAGGATTTAACATTTAATTAACAAATGGCAAGTTCAAATGGAATATTCTTTTTTTTTTTAAGATTTTATTTATTTACTCAGGAGAGACACAGAGAGAGAGGTAGAGACACAGGCAGAGGGAGAAGCAGCCTCCTTGCAGGGAGCCCGATGCGAGACTCGATCCTGGGACCCTGGAATCATGCCCTGAGCCTAAGACAGACACTCAACCATTGAGCCACCCAGGCATCCTTCAAATGGAATATTCTTATGCTAGAAACGGAATAAGCATACACTGAAAGAATTGAGAAACAAGGAGCAAAGCTACACTGTGTGAGTTAAATTAGGTAGCTTCCTAGTGGAGGTGAGAGTGAAATAGACATCAAGGAGGCTGAGAGGATATCCTAGACAGAAGAATGGTTTATGCGAAGCAACAGCTCTGAGCAGAAGAAGCCAAGCCAGTCAATTTAGCTAGAGCTAGGTTTTCATGTAAAGGGTAAAGAGAAAATGAGTTTATGGCACAAGCAGAGCAGCTACTGGGTGGCCTTAGACAAGTAACTGTCCCTCTGGACCTCAGCTGCCTCAACCAGGAAATAAGTGGGTTGGGGCCTCCTTGGGCATGGGGCGAAGGTTTCCATCAGAGAAGACAGTTAATAACTATAGGAGCAGTGTGTCAGGCCCTCCAAACCCTCCTAAAAGATAGTCTTATCCATCTCCATTTCAGAGACGAAGCATCTCATCCAGAGCTCTGTAGACTGAGTGACGAAGCTGGGTTTAGGGTTGAGTCAATGTCTTCCTCTACTCTGAGAGGACAGCTCCCATTTGCCAAGCACTGTGACAGGCCCTGGGGGATATAATAGTGAGTCGGACAGATGCAGTCTGGCTCTCATTCTACTTGGGGTGTGGGGGAGGACAGTCAATACAAAAGTAAAGACCCAACTGAATAATCCAGGTTTAAGTAGAAGTAAATGGAGAAAATAAAACATGGGATCATGGTTACGATTTGGGGCTTCTTAGGTCAGGCGGCCTAGGAAGGTCTCTCTGAGGAGGTAGCAAACCTGGGTGGAGACCAGAAGGGCAGGAAGAGGAGTGCCTAGTTGGGAAAGGGCTTAACTGGCCGAGCCAAAGTATTTAGGTTTGACAACATGAACTAGGCCCCCCGTCTTTCTTTTGGGGGAAGGAGTTGCTTTTTATTTCTCAAAGAGCTTAATTAAGATGGCAGTGGACAGGGAAAAGCAAGAGGGTGGCAGTAGCAGAGTCTTAATATGGAAGTGGGGTGGCCAGAGTGACATTGGAAGTTTTTTTTTTTAAGATTTTAAATATTTATTCATGAGAGACACACACACACAGAGAGAGAGAGAGAGAGAGAGAGAGAGAGAGAGAGAGAGAGGCAGAGACACAGGCAGAGGGAGAAGCAGGCTCCATGCAGGGAGCCCGATGCGGGACTCGATCCCGGGACTCCAGGACCACGCCCTGGGCCGATGGCAGGTGCTAAACCACTTAGCCACCCAAGGATCCCCACATGGAAGTTTCTGAGCAGGGCCCAGAGAGGTTGTTCCCTTACATTTCCATCCCTTTCCTTTTAGGAATGCCAGAAGACTTCAGAAGGTGATGATGGCAGTGGTCAGGAGGGCCAAGCAAGGCTTAGTAATAATAATGATGATGATGATGATGATGATGATGATAGCTAATGACAGCATTAACTATTAGATAATATTTAAGAAATCATTTTAAGTAGATTTATTTATTTATTTGAGAGAGAGAGAGAGAGAGAGAGCATGAGGGGCAGAGAGAGATGGCAGGGGAAGCAGACTGTCTGCTCAGTGCAGAGCCCATGTGGGGCTCCATCCCAGCACCTGAGTTTGTGACCTGAGCCAAAACCAAGAGTTGAACGTTCAACCAACTGAGCTACCCAGACACCCCAAGAAACATTTTTTATGTACCAAGCATGTCTACACGCTTTTTAAGTGTTAGCTTATTTAATCTTCATAGTAACTACAGGAGATGGGTGGTATGATCCCAACTGTAATAATGAAGCAGCCTAGGCTTAGGGAGGCACAGTCATTTACCCAAGATCGCAGAACTGAGGTGGGTAGATCAAGGATGCACATCTGGGTCCTCTGAGCCTAGGCTCTCAGTCATCATGCAAAGTTGTCTTCCAGAGGTTTCACACAGTCATGCAACATTTGACCTGGAAGTGATCTTAGATATCATATAGACCCGAAATTTCTAATTCAGTCCTCTGAGAGGAGACCTCTGATTTAGGATAATCCCTCCTCTTTTGACAGCTGACAAAATTAAGTCAGAGAATCCGATTAGTGATGGAAATGGGGTCTGATGCTGAGTTCTGACTTTTACTGGAATGCTCTTTGTAATCTCCTGCAGCATATCCCTAGATACTCGAATCCTGCTTACGAACCCCTGGCAGAAATGACTGGACGTGACTGCAGCCTCCAAGAGGGCAGAGACAAGCATGAAATAAGATAATGCACATAAAAGTCTTGGTGTGGTGCTCAGCACAGAGTAAGTACTCAGTGCATGCCCATGTGCCCATGCCTTTGAGAAAGTCCACATGGCTGGTTTCTGTGCCCAGTGAGGAGAACAGCCGGGCCCCGACTGAGAAGGGGAAGAGAACACACAGGTGGAGAAGGCCTTCCTCTCCCCGAGCCCGCCACCTTGATGGACATGCTACAGTCCTTACCAAACCCCATCCACCGGAGTGAAAGTAAAATGTCTTTGGAAACCTCATAACCCATCATCAGAACTGCTGGGTGTAGGAAAACAATTGCTTGCCCTAAATAAGCAACTATGATTGTCCTTGGTTTGTCTGAGTTTTCCTTTAATTATAGGCTCTCTTGAAACATTCAAACACTTTGTAAATTTGGATCCCCCTCTCTCACATACAATCCTCCCGTACGCACACGCTCCCTTGCATTTACAGAGCATACACACCCATCTCTTACTCATTCACATAATGAATTTCAGTGCCGTACATCTCGAATCGAAGAGGGGCCCAGGAGGTTTATGGGTATCTGGGCAGCCTTCCTGCTCCAAGGCCCCCACAGTGCTGTTGGAAGAGTGGGTCCCTTATGGGGAGAAGATAATGAGCAAAAAGTGCTCTTGATCCCTAGACCAGGCCGAGCATCTCTTTCCTACAATTATGGAGTTCAGTTGAGCAGCCACGTCCCTAAAAAAAAATCCCCAAATTCCTCCACCCCACCTCGCTTTGTGCGTCAAATCGTTGCATACCCCCTGACCTGTCCTCTCTTCTTGCAAACTCAACTTGGAGCCTTTTGGTTCTGGAAAGACTTTCTAGGTATTAGGAGAGTCTAGGAAAACCTCCCTTCCTCTTCTTGCATTTCTTCCTTGTCAGAGAGACAAGTGGATTTTATGGAGAGATACAGAGCATCTTGGGGACCAGTGCCTGAAACAGGGCTCTTCAGAACTAGCTGGGGACTCATGGCTTGATGCTCTTGTCCCCACTGACCCGGACTCAGCCTTCCGCCGCAGTGCCCTCCATGACACCTGGTCGAGGTGGGAATGAGAGAAAACTCTTGGAAGAAGTAGGAGCAGATTTTCCTGTTGCCCACCAGTCCCTGAGCCCCTCCCTGGCCAGAGGACAACCTCTTTCTCCACATCCCCTCCAGGCGTTGGTGCTGGGCCAATGGTTCTCTTTCCTTCCCAGCTCATGTGGTGGTGCAAGTCCTCCCACTGGGACCTGTCTCAAGCTCCTGTTGTGAGGTCCCCGAGTGGGGAGGGACTGACTGCCCAAGTCCCTGAAAATTTAACGCCCTGCACCAGCCACTCAGGGCGCCCCTGCGCCGGGGCCGACAGCGGGGCCTCCACAGGCCTGGGTTCAAGGAGGTTTCTCCGTTGTTCCTGGAAGTTTGTCCTTCCAACCACGGGGCATGTACAGGGGCGGTTCTGGGTTCTGGGTCTTTTAGGGGACACTGCGATGAAGCAGCAGCAGCAGGAGCAGCAGGGATGCTGCAAGGGGAGGGACCAGGCGGCAGGGGTGGGGGGGTGGGCAGGGGGGAGGCTTCATTCCCAACCTCGGACCCTGCCTGGCTGGGAGAAAGGGTAGGACCAGGAAGCAGACGCACGCACGCGGGTCGGGACAGAAGGAACCGACGGGGGGGCGGGAGCGGGGGGCTGGGGCAGGACGCGCGGCCCGGAGCGCGGTGCCTGCAGCCAGCCCACGCCTCCCCCCGCCGCCCGCCGCCCGCCGCCCGCCTCCCGCCTCGACGCCACTCCCTCCCCGCCGAGTGGCTCCATCCGCGCAGGAGGCGGGCCCGGTGGCCCCTGGAGCTCTCGGGGCTGCAGGCTCGGGGAGCGGGGAGGGGAGGGAGGAGGGGCGCGGGCTGGGCAGGCCACAGAGGAGGGGGCCTTTAATAGGCTCGCCCAGCGCCCGGTCCGCGGCGTCGCCGGCGGCTGCGGCGGAACGACGGCCCCGCACCTCCCGCCGGGTCCCCGCCGCGGGTCTCCGTCCTTGCACTTGCTGAAGCCGCGGGGCGCGCCTCGCTCCGGAAGGCGCAGGTAGGAGGCCGCGCGCCCCGCTCCGGGAGGAGCTCCCTGCCCGCGCTCGGCCTCCTGGAAGCCGCGGGCGGCCCCGGAGCGCCGCTTCCCGGGTGCGCGCCGCCACGAGCCGGGCCGAGCCTGCCGAGCGCGCCGCCCTGCGCTGCCCGGAGCCATGCTCCTGCTGGGCATCCTGAGCCTGGCTCTGGCCGGGGGGCCCGCGGGCGGCTCGGAGCCCGAGCAGGAGGTGGTGGTCCCCATCCGCCTGGACCCGGACATCAACGGCCGCCACTACTACCGGGGGGGCGCCGAGGACCCCGGGGAGCAGGGGCTCATTTTGCAGATCACAGCGTTCCGGGAGGACTTTTACCTCCACCTGACGCCGGATGCCCGGTTCCTGGCGCCCGCCCTCGCCACGGAGCGCCTGGGCGTCCGCCTGCCGGCGCTGGCCGCGGGCTCCCCGGACCTGCGGCGCTGCTTCTACTCCGGGGACGTGAACGGCGAGCCGGACTCGTTCGCCGCGGTGAGCCTGTGCGGGGGGCTCCGCGGCGCGTTCGGCTACAGGGGCGCCGAGTATGTCCTCAGCCCGCTCCCCAACGCCAGCGCGCAGGCGGCGCCGCGCCACGGCCAGGGCGCACACCTCCTCCGGCGCCGGGGCGCCCCGGGCGGGCCCCCCGGGGACCCCACCTCTCGTTGCGGGGTGGCCTCGGGCTGGAACCCCGCCATCCTGCGGGCGCTGGACCCGTACAAGCCGCGGGGGCCCGGCTTCGGGGAGGGTCGCAGCCGGCGGAGGTCCGGGCGCGCCAAGCGCTTCGTGTCCATCCCGCGCTACGTGGAGACGCTGGTGGTGGCGGACGAGTCCATGGTCAAGTTCCACGGCGCCGACCTGGAGCACTACCTGCTGACGCTGCTGGCCACGGCGGCGCGCCTCTACCGCCATCCGAGCATCCTCAACCCCATCAACGTCGTCGTGGTCAAGGTGCTGCTTCTCGGCGACCGCGACGCGGGGCCCAAGGTCACGGGCAACGCGGCCCTGACGCTGCGCAACTTCTGCGCCTGGCAGAAAAAGCTCAACAAAGTGAGCGACAAGCACCCGGAGTACTGGGACACGGCCATCCTCTTCACCAGGCAGGTGAGTCGGCCTGGCGCCTCCTTGGACCCCGTGGCCGTGGGGCCGCCGCCCTTAGCTCTCCAGACGCCCTTGGAGGGCAGGCAGGTGACCCCAAGCTGGAATGCTGGTGCTCCCTTCCGATCCCCGCGTCGGACCTGCCAGGGACCGCGCGCCCCCGGGCTCCGTGGCGCCTGGGCGCGCGGGCCGCGGGCTGCACGTGGGCGGGCGGACGGCGCTGCGGGAGGGGTGCGCCCCGCCTGGCCAATCAGCGCCTCCCCGGCCGGGCGCCCAGGCCCCGAGCCCCGGACGCGGCCGCCCCGCAGCCGCAGTGCGCCTCGGTGGCAGACAGGAGGCGCTCCGAGGATGGCGTTGGCGGGGTCCGAGCGGGCCTTCCCCGGTGGCTCCCCTCCCCTCTCCTAAAACTGGAGGGTCCCGCAGGCATCCCGGGCCAGAGCCTGGCTCCCCTTATCCTGCGTCCGGGCCTGCGGAGCCTGCCCTGGGATGGAGGGAATCATTCGGGATGTTTGGTGGTTGGAGTGAGAAGGACAGTCTCCAGTCCCGGGAGAGTGGGGTGGGGTGGGGTGGGAGTGGGGGGATGGATACCTTCCTGGGCCAGCCCGCTTCTCCTTGAGGGGATTCCAGGCCATTCGGAATAGGCAGTCGAGGTAGAGGTAGAACACCTGTTGGGCGCTTGGAGTTTCTAGTCGCGCTTCACTTGGAGCTGAGTTGGGGAAGATCTCCCAACTTTCCTATTTCCTTGTTGGCCCAGGGTGACCCGTTCGCCTTGATGTGGGCTCTGGAGCACAGCCGGCAAGCTTGCCCGTGACAGCAGCGCGCTGCAACTGCCGGTGGCCACGCTTGACTGTAGGGTTCCAGCTTCTGCCCACCCCCCACCCCGACAGCGTGCAAAGCGTGCAAAGCTTAGCAAGGAGCACCTGGAGACCCCACGGGCGGGGGTGGAAGGATACTGAGTATTGGGTATTGGGAAAGGTGGTCAGATCCCAGAGGCAGCTCTGCCCCCTGCTATGGGGCTAGGAGCCTTCACGTTCCTAGATATTGGAGTGATTGGGTGCTGTGACGTTTTCGGATTCTTGAACTTTCTCAGATTCGTGGATGGGGACTTGGAGAGGAAGACGGGCATCCAAGTGACTTGCTTCCTCTGATTTTGGGGGCTGCATCTCGAATCTGTGCCATGCTCTTGTTTTGTTATTATCACAACCATGTCATTCCGGGGATGGCCCAGAGTCCTTGGTTGCCCGTGGGGCTCTCTCCTCTCCACTCTCTCCGAAGGCCACTCAGAGCTCCACTGGCACACACTGGGCTGGAGCTGAAGTCTTCCACACTAACCCATTTGGCACCGCTTGTCCCCTCCTGGAATTGAACTTCCTCCTTTCCCAGCCTTCTCCTCCCACCACCTGGTTTCTCTAGGGAGATCTTTGGCCTGAGTCTGTTTCCTTGCACTCATTCTTCCAACTGAGGTCTGTAGAGCTGCCATTGCCCAGCCCCTGCACACACTGCCTGAGTCATGGGGAAACTGCAGAGGAGGTGGCTTCCACCTCTGCATACAGACCAACTCGGCGGTCAGATTGCAAAAAAAAAAAAAGAAAAAAAGAAAAAAAAAAAAAGCAAAGGCCAAGAACAGGATATCTTAATGGGCAATGCAGCTGTCGGCCCATCTGCTACCTGGGATGCCCCTGTGGAGGTCACTCTCTGCTTCTAGGGTAACAGACCTCCATCTCTGCCGCTTGGTGGCTAGGCTAACTTTTGGAACCAGCCCTAAGAAAGAGGACTCCTGCTGGGAATATGGGTCACACCATCAGAAGGGTTCGCCTTTTGAAGAAGAAGCAATCGAGCAGCATGACAGCTTCTGTTTGCCAGTGGCGTGTGCTGGACCCAGAGGGGCTATGTTAACCATGCATAATGGGTACAAGATGCATGACCACTTGGGTCAGAAGCAGTGACGTGCAAGATGTGACTTTTAGAAGCTGTCTTTCTCTTAGGCGTCTAGAGGGCGAAGCCAGAAAGTGGGGAGGCTGTGGTGGCAGGACCAACATCCAGGTATGTGCTTTATGCTTTAGGGTAAATCTCATTCTCTCTCTTTCTCTCTTTCTCTCTCCTCCTTGCCAGCACAGACTTCAGGGCCTGCTGCATTCTCAGGGTCTTAGGAACTTCTCATTCCTAAATTCTCCTGGGGAAGGTACAGTATGTGATGAGAACTGAGTGTGCAGCTGCTCTGTCGACGGAGGCAGATGTGGTCTCCGCGATCCTGGAGGAGTCTCCGGCTATCCTCCAACACGAGAGGAACTTTTGCTTTACTTTGTAAGGGTTGGTAGTGGTCCTTTAAATAAGATAGGAGCTTCCTAGATTATTATGGTGTTGGTGTAGTCAATGCTTTTTCAAACTAAAATCAGAATATATACATATATTATATATAATATACATGTGTATAAAATACATAGTTATTTCTATGAAGATCAATATATGCAGTCGACTCTTGAACAACATGGGTTGGAACTGCAGGGGTCCGCTTATATGTAGACTTTTTCCAATGCAGTACAGCACTCTAAATGTATTTCTTCTTTTGATTTTCTCAATAACATTTTCTTTTCTCTAGCGTACTTTATTTAGGAATACAGTATATAGTACGTAGAGCATACAAGATACGTGTTAATCGAGTGCGATCGGTAAGGCTTCTGGTCTACCATAGAGTATTTCTAGTTTAAGTTTCTGGGGAGTCAAAGTTTGTATGTGGATTTTTGACAGCATGGGGGCCAGGGCCCCTAACCCTCATATTGTTCAAGCATCAACTGTATATAGTTTGGATATGAAGTTTTTAGAAATGTGCTTATTTTGTTAATCACCTCTTGTCTATAACGTCGAACTGTCAGACATCTCTAGAGTCACCCGTTCCTTTGTCTCCCCACCCCCCGAAAATTCTGGAAAATGGCTAGTGACTCTTTCTGACTGATACACTCTTGTTGTGGTTTTGACAGGGATGAAGAAGTGGGAAAGGGTCAGGCTCGGTCAGGCTGTATTTCCTCCTGCGAGGGAGAGGCGAGAGCAGCTCCTCTGGAGCTCCAGGTGTCGGGTCCCTGAAGGGGGAAGGGTAGCAGGACTGGCAGGCAGCAGAGCTCCCCTGCCACCCACCGCCAGAGATGCTGTGCCTGAAGGCAGGGCTGGGCCAGGCTAGGGGGAGACCTGGCCTCTTGGCAGGCAGAGGGAGGGGTGTGGGGTGTTGAAATCAAAACACTGGGAAGACACGACCCAGGGAGGAGCCTTTACTGTGTGCAAAGGAGAAAAAAAAAAAAGATTGATCATACAACAAGTATTTTGACAATCTGAGGAGTTTGCTTAAAGATTCAGATTAAGTTCATGTTCCTGGAGAAGGAGTGCACATCTGATTTTGCAAAGCAATCAGTCTCCAGACTCATAACAGCAGGGTGAGGTCAGCACAGGATCGGAACCAGGATCTGCAGAGAATTAGAGCCAGTCTTGCTGGGTGGACATTCATTTCTACGAGAAGAAAAGTTTCTATGGCTTTTTGTTGCCATGGGGAGCAGGGGCAGGGTATTCGGGGCTGGGACGTAGTAGGACTGCACTTCCCTCTGTCTTCTCTCTCTTTACCTCTGATCCCTCTGCTGTTTGGGTAACTTTGTGGTGGACTAACCTTTGTGAATTGGTTCTACTTTTTAAAACTACTTAGGGGAGCATCTATTATTTCCGGTTATCGTCCTGGGGTGTGGAGGTACAGGTCCTAAGATGCGGCCTCCGGCTCTCAGGAACTCACCGACTGTCAGGGAGCCTGACTAGGAAATAGCTCGGTTACACGAGGGTTCTGTTAGGTGCCCCGGGGGAGACGCGCGGCCTCCGTGGGAAGTCCAGCGGGGAGTCTCCTCCTTGGGGGTGCAGCCAGGGAAGCCCTCGGAGGGAGGGGGACGAGGGGGACAGGTGGCAGCAAGGCACTGGGATGGGAGCTGGTGACAACGGGAAAGGAAGCTTGTTTCCTCGGTTGCAGGAGGCTGTGTCCTCCACTCCACCATCTGCTTTGCCATTTGTAACATTTTCTCCTTTGAACGGACTTTGTTTTGTAGGGTTTACAGTTTGTGGTTTTTCTGCCAGTTTATTCCTTCATTTATTTTATTTATCCTGTTGCACTTCGTACCACTGCGTACCTTTCCCTCGTCCCCACCTCCCCCCACATTTTTTTCTGTGCTCTCTTTCTCCTCATTTGAGTTTCTCCAGGGCAGGCTCCTTGTCATCTTTCTCTTCTCTTTTGTTTCCTTCATTCGTGTCCTCACCTTTCTGCCTCTCAGTCCCGAGCTTGGCACTTACCTTCTTAGGCTGGCCTTGAGTTGTACTACGTTGTGTGTGTGTGTGTGAGTGTGTGTGTGTGTGTGTGTGTCGGGGGGAGGGCAGGGCAGGGGGCACGTACACATGCTCTACACCGCGCTGAGTGCAACGGCACTCTGGAACCTCATTGGAAATAGAGGCCAGTTCTTTCTATGATAAACGACTTGCCATATGGCAGTGAAATTTAGTGTTCAATTAAAAAAGCTTAATAAACTATTACATATTTGGTACATATCTCCTAATACAATAAAGAGGATCATAATTTTTGTCAGGATCTTTTTTGAAGTCAGGCCTTGGAAGAGATTAGCAGAGCGGGGCATCTGTAGTTTTGGTATTTAAGAGTTTGTAACTCTTTATCACCGAATGGAAACTCAACACTACTTTTGGGGGGACGTGGGGGCGGGGAAGAGAGGAAGGAGTGGGGTATGGTTGCTTCCTGACTTGGAAGGTGGTTGCTCTTCCCCCTCTTTCTTTTACTTATACCGAAGAAGAGAGCCTATGTTAATAGTGGAGGATGGGGGAGGAAGTTTGGAGGAAGGAACGTGCACCAGAATCTCTCTCTCTCTCTCTTCTAGTTTTTATTTAAATTCCAGTGAGCTCACATACAATGTAATGCTAGTCTCAGGTGAACAATCTAGAGATTCAACACTTCCATACGGTCTCTGGTTGCT